TAGCTCCAGTTTGAAAAGCTTTTCCAGGTGTTTATATAAATCACTATATGGATGATATATTAATGGCTGCTAAAGATAAAAAACTTGTTTTTGATGCCTTTTCTAAATTACAAGAGGTTCTTATCCTGGCTAATTTACAGATAGCCCCAGAAAAGGTACAGGTATCTTTTCCCTATCATTATTTAGGTCATGAATTGTTATGTATGGGCATACGCCCACAAAAGATTACTCTGCGTATGGATCAGCTACGCACGCTTAATGATTTCCAAACCTTTCTGGGGGACATTCAGTGGCTTCGGTCCACTTTAAAAATTCCAACAGGTCAGCTTTGCCCTTTGTATGATGTCTTAAAGGGTGACCCTGACCCTTTATCTCCCCGTAAATTAACAGCTGAAGGACATGTAGCCCTACAAGGTGTGCAAGAGGCCCTGGAACAGGCTCTCGTGCAGTATATAGACCTTTCTTCTCCCTTATTGTATTTGATATTTTGTTTCTTTACTGAAATTCTTAACAAAGAAAACTATAACTATCTAATCTTCAACTCCCTTAGAATCCCGAGAAGGAAATAATATTACTTAGCATAACAGGAAGTGAAAACAAGTGACTTCCAAAAATTGTGAGTTGACAGAACCAGCCAGCTGCTTGGACAGTCACCTGACGTTTCTCCACAACAGTGGGGCATCTTCTTCAGCCTATAAGCTTAGCATATCTGATGGACTCATTTGTGAAGCAGGATGTATGCATGGTCTACAGTCCAACATCACATTCAGTGCGAGTATTCCATATACCAGATAAACTTGAATTCCGCCAGTGTCCTGTCATGATTCAGGATTTTAAATTCTGGAAATTTCTGGTGTTTTTTAAATTCAGCTTCCCATTCTTCTCAGCTTGTGGGTGGTTTCATCTACTTTATTAAATGTCAGTCTACCATAATGAAGGTTAGACTCCTTCGGCCTACTTATTCCTTCAAGAATAACTGTTTCAGCTACTGTTCCACTGCACATCAGAAGCCACTGGCCCACTACCTGTTCAGCTACCTTCACAGAAAGGGTCACTGTACCTTTCTTTTCTGGATCGCAAAGCCACTTCAGAGATAGTGCCATATTGTCCTGGCCACATTGAACGCCTGTTGCCAAAGCTGCAACCACACTTGTCTTGGTAGATCGGTAGTCCTTTGTTTTGTGTCCTGTTTGTCCATTTTGGATAGCATACTGTCAGCAGTTGATGTGAGGACAC